TGAAGGCACTTGTTAATGTATAGAGCCTCATGGGGGGGAAGCAGAAAAGGAAACAGAATTATGATTGTGCCGAGAGAAAAGCTTTAGATATGAAGACAGAGATGAGCAGAGGCTCCTCAGGAGGCCTCAGGATGGATAAGCAAGATCTGTGGAGTAGAGTACTCAACTGAGGTTAGCTTTTCAGCTGCTGCCCATATTTCCAAATTTGTCAGTGGCCCAGCTGGAGTTCTGTGCTAAATCCATTAGATGGAGAGTTGCTAATAACTGATTTCCTTGCTTAAAAGTTGATTTCAGCGCTGCTCATCTTGCTTTTTCCGACATGTGTCAGTACTGGTTGGGAAACGCACAGTGTTGTAGCCTCTGACTACAGCTTCTGTTGTTTCCCTTAAGGTAAAGCTTGTATCTCCCCTCCTTCCCCCATACCTCATGTTGCTTTTTCAGAAAATACCTGGTTCCTGCAGACCACAAGACTCTGCATGAGATAATGTATTTCAATAGAGCCAGTGTTCTCCGAGAGCACATGAACGCTGCCCCAAGGATTGCACTTCACACAGCTTTAAATAACCCGTACTGCTACCTGAAGGTAAGAAACGAGTGAGTTGTTTGTGGTGCTGGAGTAGTTTCCGAAAGCTTCATGGGAGGACGATGTGTAATGCTTAGTTTTGCTGTTTCATGAAGCTTGGCACACATTCAGCTGTTTTGCAGAGAACCAGCAAGTTAGTGTTGATAAGCGACTGGGGACTTTGGAAAGAGCTAGGGAATCTGTCTGCCTGAAATAAAGCAGCTAATTATGGAAAGAGTTCTGTATGGGGAATCCATTTTCCAGAGCCTGTTCTAGTCATGATACTTCTTTTTCCTTTAGCAGAAGTAGCAGAAAAGTCAGGGTTTGTCCTCCCTTACAAATGGGATGACTGTCTGCAGGGAAAAATACAGCATCTGTGGCTCTTTCCAGAGACCTTCTTTACAGGGCTGGTGCTTAGTCCTCACTGTGTAGACTCGCTCTAAGGTGAAGGCTTCATTCAGGTGGTGTGATGACATTAACAATAGCTTAAATACAGAATATCTAAAGGAGTGCTTTGGTTTTCTTTCTACATTTATTTTAGTATTTGTTGTGTATTGTCATCCTGTATTTTCTGACTCAAAAAAAAGGGTTATCACAGCTTCTATTAGTTAACCCTGCCCTTTTCTAGAGATGAAAAGCAGCCGCTTTTCCCCTTCTTTCAGAAATCAAATTCATGGGATGGCCAAAAGAAAGAAAGAGGGAGGGATTTGGAAAAGGAGTGAATAAACATTTCTTTGCGTTGTCATTGATTATAGATGCTACTTGGAGTTTTCCTCGTGCCCTAATAATGCCCTTAAAATTGCGATTACAAATTTGAAAAAAAAACCCCATTGGTTGTAGCTGTGAGTGATTATGTGATGTGAGTCAAAGCCAACACTTACCAGGAATCACACTTGATGAAGATCAGTCTTTGAAATGCATAGTCCAGTTCGCATTGGGTTTGTTGGCTCCGTGCCTCTCTTTGAATGAGTTTTCCTGCATGCAGGAGTTACTTCTAAAACCACCTAAAGAGGTTATTTGTGAAAACAGTAGTTGGCAAGTGGGTTACCATTAGAGATCTGTATTTTTAAACGACCTGTAAAACTACAGATCAGGAGAACTAGCAAAATGTACCTACTGATGTGTTTAGTAAGTATTCTCTTTGATGAGTTGACAGGATTTAAAGCCCTCTGCACTTTGTTCTTTGACATACTTGAACATATTTCCGATGTTTTCCGAATAGACTGTGAAGGTTTGGCATAGTTTCTAACAGCAGCAGCATTGGCCGAGTACCTTGCTTAGCATTTTAATCCGTGTGAGTCAAAGAAATGTTTTTTTTTCTCAGTTGTATCCATGACTTGTGCATGGCTTGTACTTTCCTGGGCGATGACCAGAGCAAAGTTCTTTAGAGCTGTTCCTTCTAGAAGGCTAGGACAGAAAAGGATCTGCTTCAGTGGACTACTGGCAAATGTTTAATATGTGATGCATGTCTTAAAGGAATCCAGTCCAGTTGTTCATTAAACAAAATGTGAACCAAGGATCACACCTATCCTGAAAAAAAACCCAAAAACCCCCAAAACAAAACCACACCAAAAAAGTGTAATTCCATTTTCACTGATCCCTTGAAAATTCAACAGGTTGTTTCTTAATATTGTGTCAGGCCAAGGAAATCTGATGTTGGATCTTCCTGGGGTTTCATGGTCATGCAAGTTTTGTTCTCGACCTTGGGTGAGAAGAGTGATTTTTTTCACATTAATCTCCTGGAATGAGCCCTGTGACCCAGGAAGATACTTTGAGTGCTATGAAATTAAAATCCTGGAGTTGTAATTAAGCTCCCGTATCAGGGAAAGGGGATACTTATATTTGGTGCCGAGGAAAGGCAGTAACATTGATTCCAGAGCAGAGCAGGACTCAGTCTCCTCTGGGGGCAGGATCAAGCAAGAGAAGCCCCTCATCCAGTGTTCTGGGTTGCTCCTGCTCCTGTACTCTTTCGGAAACTCTTTTTTTATTTTCTCTGTGCTGTACGTGTGGTTTCACAACTGGCTGCTCGTTCTCGGGCAGCTTCCTGCTTCTCAGCCTCGTTCTTTCCTTTGGGGTACGATGCGTGTGCTGCTGCCCCAGGAAGCTGAGGTTTCCCTGCAGGCCGCTGCAGCTCCCTCCCGCTACGCTGTGAAGACTTGGCCTAGTTATCACAAGGGCGGCTGAATTCTTTCAGGTGCTGGCAGGGTCCCTGCAGTGCCAATCAGCAATATCATCCCTGGGTCAGTCTCGGCCTTTGCGTGTGGTCCAGCTAGATGCTGATTTCTGGAGACAAGCCTTGTTCCAGGAGAATGCAGTTGCTCCAGAAGTTGCATCCTCTCTTGGTTGTGATAACTAGTTCTGGCCTTAAGCTTAGAAAATCAGTGCAAAGTGTAGGAGTTAGGAGAACTCACAGCTGTGTTCTCCTGACACAGAGTTAGGAGAAGGAGCAGTGGGGAAAAGAGACAGGCGTAGGGTTATCCCTCTGGGCAGGAGTGAGCCACTAGATCAGCCAGAAGGTGTAACTTCACCTCTGCCGGTTAGTAACACAGTATAGTTGAAATCATGGTGTAGGCTGGTAAATTGATGTCTGGATTGTACTATCTTGAGGGTTTAGCCATGTGACTTGGAAATTTATGTGGAGACTGTCTGGACTGAACTGACAGACGTTAACCTAAATGTCTGCAGCTTTTTGTGTTCCTTGCACAGAACAAATGAACCCGAAAATTGCTAGGCTTTTTGGAAATTGTGAAATGTCTTGTAAGTGTTACAGTCCAAACTGAATGAGTCTCACACATGGCAGGGATTGAGATCTATGCAAAGCAAGCTAGAGGTTCTTGGGTGAAGTTACATTTTTTTGCCCAACCTTCCTTGCTATCTTGAAAAGCATTTATTTATGAAGGTATCCTTGCTAGGGCTTTTATAGACTTCCTAAAAGTAACTTGCATATTTTACTGGCATAGAAAAGTGTTTTAGCAAAAATTTCTGTGAACTGAAAGGAATGATCAGTGGTTGTTTTCATGTTAAGAGAGCTGGCTTCTTAGAGTGCATGAAACTAAAAACTGGGGAAAAAAAAAACATGATGCGATGTTGTAAACTTCTGCAGCTCTACAGACTTTTGCTTCTGGCTTGCTTTTTTTACTTCTCCAGTAAATGGTTCAGTGCTGATGACCTGAATTTCCTGCCCTCCAGAATAGTTTATGAGAAATCAGACTTCTGCCTTTATAGATGCTGAGTTTGAAGCCACAGAGAAATGATTGTTACATTTCAAAGACAATACTCTGAGATGAGACAAGCAATTTGGCTTTTCAGTACATCTGATAGATCTGTACTAAGACTTCCTCTTTCCTTTCAGGCAGGCGAGGGGAAGGGACGCTTTTTTGTTTTCAACATAGCACAGTCAGTCTGATGCAAATCATGACTGGTTTCTTTTCCTGAAGCCACAGAACAGAATGTATCTCTCTCATATGTAAATAGAACGAGCAAAAGAATTGGGGAAAATGCGTGATCAGATAATCACTCGCTAGAGACTACATAACCCTATAAAATTGTAAAAGGAACATCAGGAGTGAAGTACCTAGGTTGTTTGGTGGTTTTTTTAATGGTGTGTTTTCTAAAAGTTACTGCTTTTTTTTTTTTAATCAGAATCAAGCTTTGAAGAGTGATGGAGGAGGCATTTCTAATAAAGCCCCTGACATATGTATAGCATATAGGCTTCATCTGGAGTGTGGCAGATTGATTAATCTCGTCGATTGGCTAGAGGTACGTGACAATACCAACAGCGCCTTTACCTGCTTTCGGTATTCCGACTGACCTTTGCTGCGTGGCTGCTTTTCCTTAGTGCCCCTTTTGACAGCTGAAATCACAGCACACTGCAGTCCCTCCTGTGCAAGAACACACAGTAACTCCAGTCCCCAGCCCACAGTGTCTTCCTCTGCTTGCTGTGAATCACGTATTATCAGCATTATTACCCTGTGATGAAAATCTTTTGCTTCTGTTTCTATTTTATGCTCGTTCCAGATCAGATTTTATACTTCACAAAGCTGCCTTTTTTTCCCCCTCTAAGGATTCTGTGACACACTTATAAAATGGGCAAGTGTTGCTGCTTGGCAAGTGTGGGGCTTAGAGAGAAGCTTGTGCTTGGGAAGAGCAAAGGTCCTTTGAGCTGGATATCCTGTCTCGTGCTGTGAGCAAAGGCAGAGAAAATGCCGCAAGAGAACGTGCATTAATATGATACGTTCTCCAACCACTCCCTAGCTGTCAATCATGCTTTAGCTCTAACGTTTCCGAAGCTGGAATGGCTTTTCGATGTTTTGTAAGCCTACCTGGATTACATTTACTGACGTAATTTATTTTTTAGTAACTCAGCATCCTCTGGCAAGAAATACTGAAGTTTAACAAGATACACTGCAAAGGATACTCCTTTTGTTTTGTTTGCTGCTGCTGCTTTGTTTACATTTTGGACATAAAAGTGGACAGAAGGTTCTTAGCCAGCCCCTTGCTGTCCCTCAGTTTACAGATTTTTTCACAGCCAACTTATCTCCTTCATTTTTCCAGAATGTTGAAGCAGTTTCGCTTTGAGAATGGTTTTCAGTTCTGTACTTTTTCTGAGAATGGCTCAGGAACCAGAACTGCGCTGGGATTTAAAATGCAGGCACAGGAGTTGAGTCATATCTTTCATTCTGTATTCCTGCCATGGTGATATGTAACCTTGCTTGCTCTTTTGCTTGCTGCTGAACTGACATTCTCACGGAGTTACCATTCCAAGATCTCATTCCTCCTGAGCGGTAGCCCTCAGCTCAGAGCTCATCATTTTATATGCAGCTCTCTCTTTCTATGAAACGTGTTAAATCTGTGCTGCTTTTCCCTTTCTAGGCTTTCTCAACTGTGGTGACAGCCACTGAAGGACCAAATGCAGATGCAGCTTCCTCGGACCAGGTGGATGATATTGTCCAGTATCCTTCCTCATCTCTCTCAAGTTGGACATTCAAATGCTTACAAGATTAATGAACCAGGATTTTTAAAATACAGCCTCACATGCACTGATAACTAAATCCAGATGACTAGTTTAAATGGTGTTAACATACTGAAAACATCATGGAAATAGATTCAGCTGAAATAGTTGGGCTGGGGGTGGCAAGGCAAGAGTGCAGCTTTTGTCTGTAGGAGCTGTTTGGGTCTGAAAGAGAACCAACACTCTGTAAAACAAGTTGAACTCTCGGTTAAATCACCTGCGAGCTGGTGCAGCTGCTGTAGCAGGGGGAGAGTGTTACTGGGGAGTGGATGATAGGGCAGCTGTGAATGATAGGGCAGCTGTGAATGATAGGGCAGCTGTGACCTAGAGACCAGATAGAGAAATCGAGACAGTAATTTTATTATGAGGAAGTTGGAAGCATTGGCAAAGGAAATGCTTACAAAAGTAGGGTCTCTGTAGAAACCTTTAGTTCTAGTACCTTAGTGTTGAGAATTTAGTTCCCTCAAACCCTCCATTCTGCTTCTCATTTTGTCCCAATTCTTAACCAAGGTCTGTGAAATATTTGAAGGATGAGCATTAGAACTGAAACTCAAGGCTGCAACAGTAGTGCTGCCACAGAGAAGAGATTAATAGTTGTGCAAAAGGAGGCTTAAGTACAGGAAGAATATTTATGTATTTTAATACTTGCCCCAAGCTTTCCTGTAGTGCAAAGTCTTTTTTCTTTTTTAAAAGCTCCACCAGTAATTAACAAAAAATACATTCTCTATTTTAATCGAGAATATGTAGCTGTGTGTCAGGAAGGCAACAAGAAAGGTGAATAGAGTTAAGCAAAGGCAGTGTTGTTTTATGAAACCTCAAAAATCTCTATTTATGTGTCTTTCCTTTTTTTTTTTTCTGTCAAGGGACAGGAAAATATCAATTCTTTCTCTGAGACTACAAAATTAGTATCGTTGGCTTTAAGCTTTTCTTAGCAGTGGGGAAAAGAACTCTTCCGTTGTTGCCACATTACATGCATGTAGCAAAAGAAGATGAGACTGCAGGCAAATCACGCTCTGCCCTTATTTCCAACAATTTAATGTGCAATACCACGTTTTGCGTAATCTGTGCTTACTGTGACTGAGAAATCTTCCCCTCGTAGAGAGAATGGTGTCTCCATCAGTATGTGTCACAAAAACCGTACTCCATTTCCTTTACTGAAATATCCAGTGCTCGTTTTATCCGGGCTGTTTCTGAACTGGAACTCTTGGGCTTCATAAAGCCCAGCAAGCAGAAAACCGACCATGTGGCAAGATTGACATGGGGAGGCTGTTAATGTGCTGCCAAGATCTTAATAAACCTGTTCTTTCTAACCTTGCGCAATGGCTCTGTTCTCACTAAACCCGTCCTCGCTTACTTTGCGTACTGAGTCAAAGTCAACGATGACTAAATGTTGAGATACATTCTGAGTGCCTCGATAGGCTTGAATAGCAGTGTTGTTTTTTAATACTCAGCCTCCCTGTGTAATGTACTGCTCCATTAATGCTCATGTTCCAAATACTGTATTGTTGTGCCAGTTCTCATCTTCTTTGATGTGTAATATTTAACACTATACTGACACAATTCAGGCTAGCAAGCCAAAAGGACAGTGGTGGCTGTGTAAGCTTACAGAAGTGCTGAAGCAGTATTATTAACTTGCTTATAAGCTGATAGAATGCCTTCTAGATACTTGAACTACAAATTTAACAATAATACCCATATGCTAAAAAAGACAATAAGGTTCCATATTCAACCTCTGCTGCATGTTCTTCAAACCAAAAACTGGCCATTACTCCCTGAAAACTCCTTAATGAGGAGAAAAGGACAATAATTTTGAAAATGCACATTTTTGCTCTTTGAGAAGAGCAGCAGCACACTGTTTAAATCAATTCCTTTCTTCTAGTGAAGTTGATTAGTTCTAGCTGACTTTTACTGTCAAGGGAACTTGTGTCAGCATAGACTGAGAACATGGCACTTAGGCGCTCTGGAGGAAAGCAGTAAAATCCACACCTAAGGTACACACTCTAACTTTTCTCTTTGCTAAGGATTTGTGCTGTATGCAAGCAAACGAAACAGCTGTGTGAAAATAACAATTATTGGCTGAGGACATTCAAAGTACTGCTCATCTGGAAAACCAGCACTCCAGTCACTGCTGGAGTTCTGGCACCCAGGGCAGGTGAGGTTGTTAAGAAAAACCTACACGTGACTCCAGGTATCAGAGTAACACCAATACGGCCTAACCAGCCCCATCATTTTCCTCTGGCACTCACAAACTGCACTGCAGATCCTACCGCATTAAGCTTCAACTTCCCTCAGACTTAGTTTGGGGAGCAAACATGTTTATGCTGATGTCAGTGTCTCATGTTTTCCAACCATGGAAAAAGCCTTGGAAGCTAAAGGGGACAAGCTGCATTTCCCTCCAGAAAGGGTGTGCGTCTGCCGTACATCGATAAAACTGTCCCAAGGGCTGTGACACGTGTTTCAGCAGCCTGGGCGGGGACTTCAGGTCAGTCTTATCACCTAGGAAAGGGCTGCAGTTGAGAAAAGCGTTTAGACTTTGTCCCTCTCAGCCTATTTTAAAAGCTGAATGGCAATTATTTAGTTTATTGTAAAAGATTCTATCTACCTCCAAAAAACTTCCAGACTTCCTCAGTTGCCTGAAAGGGGATTACAGACTTCACTTTCCTTCTATTTAAGGCACTAAAGAGCTGCTCTTAGCGCCTGTGTTCAGCTGTCACTAGAATCCAGATGCTCCCACTTGGTCGCACTGGCACCTCAGCCTACTGAAAACGATAGCCTGGAGCACTGAAGATTGAATCACTTGCATAAACCAGATCTGTACTAGGGGAGGCGAGGGGGGAGTCTTATTACAAGAACCTATAACTTAACAGGCTGTTTACCCGGGAACATATGTAAGAAAGATGGGTTAGGCTTGTTTAAAATACCCTCAGAGAGGACAGGAGTCATGTATTTTCCAACTGCTCTAATTGCAGAGATACAGCAAAGCTTCCGGCTGTAGTTAAGGGAGGGCCGGATGCTAAAAGTTGTCAGGCAAGTTAAGAGGCTGAGGAGGACAAGTAGGTTCTTGGCCTTTCTGCTGCCTAAATGTTCAGCTTGGGAAATGTGACGATGAAAACTGAAGAGGACAAAAATTTAGGGTCTCAGTGGAGGCAGTTGCAGAAGTTCCTCTACTCCACCAAGACACATGGTAAACAAACCCACCCACTCTTCACTCCAGAGACCAAGGCAGGGCACACGTATTGGGAGCGGTCTCTATACGTAAGGCTTCCAAGCAGCAAAATGAGAAACTTCAGTAGGAAACAGCCCCGTTTTGCAGAGGCACAAGAAGACACGAGGGTAAGTTGCCCTACACAGTTGTCCTCTGCCACCTGCCTGCAGCCTTCCCTCCCCTAACCTCGCCCAACACAAGACAGGCCCACAGCATTTAACTCGCACACCTTTGGAGAGTAGAATATGTGGAAATAAGGAAAAGCAAGCCTCAGCCCTGCGTGGCCTTTAATTCCCAAATGGGCAGGCAACGTGACGTTTAAAGCAGAAAAAATTAAGTTAATGGCTCTTTCTTCCCTTTAACTAGTAACATGAATTCTGAAGCTTAAAGTCACACATATGCTGTGCTATATAGAGTTTCTCAGGATCATATGTTTAATTCAGTACTTTGCACTTCAGACTGAGAGATGTCTAAAGGGGAAATGCTTGACTAAAATTACATAGGAATTACTGTGTAATTTCATTTTCTTCCGCAAGGAGGGTATGAAGGTGGGACAGTTAAAAAACAAACTAAAAACTGGTCATGAACTTCCATTTAGTTTGCCTTTCTTCTGAAGCAGGACTTTGTAGTCAGTCCTAGCTGCCCAGAAAGAGCTTAACATCACTAAACACTGAACCAACATCAGTAACAGCACAGGCACTACAGCTGTGAAAAAGCACCTTGTGCTTTTCCTCCTTTAATGCAACTCTTGTGCTAGACATCCCCTAACATCAGGCTCTCTGGTTACAGGCCATATAGTATGAATTTTACATTTGGGTCCTCCTATAAATTATTTCACTGCTTTTTGTTGTAAATATTCCAAACTCACTCTCACATGCATACCTTAGCTGAAATACACATTTCAACTGCAAATATATATGTAATTTTAAAATGTCAGTTTCTACAACAGTAGTTAGTTTCTACAACAGCAGTAACATGTTCTGCACATTCTTGGAAACACTGTCTTGCTGCAATGTTCACTGAAAGCAGAGAAAGAAAAAAAACTGTTTGTCTTGTGGTACTAGCTCTGAAACTCTTAACAGTGTAAAGCCTCACCTCTGAATCAATAATTGTATTCTTAAGGAGATGAATCTTTCAAAAAAAAACACACTACTGGCAAAAATCAGAACGGAAAGTAAGTTAACTCATTTAAAGAGTTCATTTTCCTCTGCTGTTACTGATGCTGTTCTGTAACACCTCTTTATGCTATTGCACTCCTAGTTTCAAACACAAACTTGGTCATTCTTTTATCTTGGAGCCAACGGCAGCAGTAAAAGTGGAGTAAGCCAGGTGTTGGTAAAAGGCAAACATTCATCCTCATATTTTTCATCTCAGAGAATGGCTCCCAATACAAAGGTCGCAAGCACTGGTTCACAACAAGAGCATAAACTCTTAATACTTTGCCAGCTTCACTTTTTTTCCTCCCCACTGCAGAATCATCCAGCTAAATCCTTCCCGATTCCCCACTCAGAAACGAAGAGAGCTTTCACAAAGCTCAGTTTTTAACCAGAATCTGCTAATGGTCTCACTGTTCAAAAGAACACAGCCAGATCTTGAGTGTCAGCAAACAAGACCACTTGAATCTCCTTCCTTTTCAACCCTGAAAAAATGCTGAATAACCTTATGGTTATACACTCCTGGATCTAGGTGCAAAAAAATCCACACAAAGGATACACGTGCTGCTTTTTAAGTGTAGAACTGCAACCTGCTTGGAAAAAATTTACACATCACTACCTCAGAAACAGGTTAACCAAGATCCTTGTTTTCACTCTTGTTAAGCTGCGATTGTCCTCGGCTTGCTTTGCTTTTGCACAGACTGCAGTTACAAACTGCACAAATATCCTAAATGTGGCCACCACAAAACACGGTGCCAAGAATTCAGCAGGTATCGACTCTTGCCCATTTCTACTTGACTCAAAAGCCTTTGGAAAGGCTCTCCAAAGCATGTTTAAGCACCAGCCTGCTCCTCACAGCACCTCATTTTCTTTTCAACAGTAATCAAACCAGGCAACCATCTTCCAGCTACGTCAGTCACCTGTTAGAACAAGCCCATCACATGAAAATCAGATACTGGCACCAAGATAAGGAAAAGGAGCCAGTTTAAAGTTCAAGACAACAAGCAGCAGGTTAAAAAAAATGAAAAATGTCAAAGAATGCAATCTTGTTTTCAAAACAGGCACAAATTAACATACCACAGCTCTGATGCATAAGCACCCATGGTGGCATTTTTAATCTGCCAGAAGACTGCTTACTACGCATTAATTTGGAGCAGCACAGGAGTGGCTGGGTGCTAACATGACATCACTTCTTATTTATAACAACTCTTTAATATCCCAAAGGAAAAGATAAGCAGGGACGCAGAGATGACCACAATAGCTGGTATCTTTAATTTTACTCCTATCTCAAATGATCAGTTTGGCATACATACAGGACTATCGGGTCAGAACAAGCATCTTCTAGAATGCAGATGTATCGGGATGCTGGGATCTGGGGAGTGGTCCACCTCAGTAGCAGCGGTTTTCCTACCCTGGCCAAGTTAACAATAAAAAGAGGTCAAAAAACGAGAAGCAGGAAGGAGAAGGATTGAGCACCCTGAGGCAGACAACAGAAATTGCAGCCTTTGATAGGTGAGGGGGTTTGGCCTTTTCAGTAACTGAAGACCCAAGAGCAGAGCCTAGCTGAGCCTGCCCATTTCTGAAATTCTGAAAATACAGCAAGAAGAATCCCAATATGTAGGCAATATAGGTTTCAGGAAAGTGAGCAGAAAACACTCTTTTTAGATACTGCTGCAATGTGCTTTATTCTGAACCTGTAACCTACTAATTGAATAAAATTTCACTAAGAACTAGAGCTCGTCACATGGCTTCTCTGATACAACAAGCACCAGCATGAACCAATTAACACACACACCTACCAGCTGGAGTTTCAATTACATTTCAGCTAAAACTCTTCCATCCATTTGAAACAGTACAAAAAGATCTATTACACAAGACTTCCACTTAACCGAAGCTGACAGTAAGTTAAGAGAAGACACTGGTTTATAATTTCAGGATTATTTTGAAATTGCTTTAAGGTTCCCAAAGCAGATAACCTGAGTCTCTCGGTAAGCCACACTACCACCCTGCAGCACACACACCAGGGCTCGCCACGCAGGAACCTTTCAGTACCTCACACCGAGGCTCAGAGCCGCACAGGCAGCAGCAGCCAGGAATGATGCAGCCGTCTGGAAACAGCCAAACACGCCCAACAGCGAACTCCTCGACTCAGAACACGAAGATTACGCACCTTTAGCTCTTCCAGCACCTAAGCAGTTCCAGCTTGTGGTGCAAGAGCCTGCTCTATCTTATGAACAGATTTCCTTTGATGTGTCATTTTGAATCTGAAGGAAAACAAGCCCAGCTGTTTGAGTCAGCTGCAGCAGCCAGTTAAACCAACAGTTTCTTGTAAGTTCTGCACTAAACCTGCTTCCACAACAGGACAATCTAAGGAAGGCTTCTTCACCTATGAAGAGCTACCTGAAATTTTCATCTAACTCCTTCTCCTGATCTAAAACTCTGCCCCACCCGCTACTGCTAGTAAATAAAAGTTTTCATTTAAACACTCAGATTTAAGTTTATTCATACACAGCAAAAGTTCCACCTGCATATCAAAACCAAACAGATTAGAAGTAAATGTTTTATTCTTCCAACTAAATTCCAGTACTACAAGGGCAGTAAAACAATGATACACTGAAAAATTGCAGCAATAAACATTTGTTAAAGACTGATAGAATAAATAAAAACTACAAAAATGAGAAATCATATAAACCCATTCTTAACCCCCAAAAAAAGTCATGGAATACAGAAATGCCCTCCTTCACTATTTCACAGGCAGTACTGTGGGCTATTTGCTTAAAATTGTCCTGGGATTACATTCTAACTTAACTGTGATTACAGCTTTGTTGTAGTGCACAGTTATGAAAACCACACTAACTTCAGTCAGAAGTGTCATTCTACATTTTTATTTACACAACCAGTGAAGGGCAACTTCTAGAACACCAGCTTTAATCCTTTACTTTTTCAAACTCATTAACATAAGAAGCCAAATTGTAATGATACAGCAAATGAGGCCACTGGTATTATTACAGGTAGCAAAGGTCCACATCCAGGTGGTACTGACAGGGAGCACTCCAAAACCAGTTGCTGCATAAGAGTGGTTGCCACTGACAAAAGCTTGAAATAATCTGTGTTCACAGGGGGAAAAATATGGCATTGCTGCAAGTCTTTACTGGAACAGCTTGCAACAATAAAACAGGGTGTATAGGGCAGCCCACATATGCAGAAGAAATTGTAATTCATGAAACGTCTGGAAAGAGAAAAAAAAAAAGAGTTAATGATGAACTTAAATGCCAGCTCTATCACAAACACACTACAGCAATATAAAAACCTGCTTCAAAAATAAAACCCCAGCACATTACAGGAGGCGGTTCTACACGTTTTAAACAGAAGCTGTATTTTATCTTGCATCTTCCTTTTCACCTCAATCTCCCATATCAGCAATTCACAGGATTTTAATTGGGGGCCTAGCTGAAGTTGAACAAGAAATTCGAATTATTGAACATTGGGCAATTTAACAGTGCTGTAGGATCCATGAGAAATAGATACTCACAACTGGCAGGCTGTTCTCCATATCGTCGCATGATTTGATCATGCGTGAACTTCACAAATGCGTCGTATTGTTCTGCAAGCATGAAGCATTACAAGTGTGAGTATATTACCTCAAGCTGAAAAATAGTCAAGGCTACTTTTTTTTATACATACAAATCACGTCAGTTAAACACGCATCCACTAACAGTAGTTTTAAGTGACTTTTACACAGTTCATAGCTGCCATTTCCTTTTCATCCCCAAGAAAACAATGCAGCACGTGTCCCCTTAATTAAAAGACTTTCCCTTACAAACTTCCGTAATGGGAAAGACAGTAACATGCTCAAAGAGAATTATGCTGCACATATGCAAAGACCTCAATATACCCAACGCCTCTTAAGCGTCAGTCCCCGTATTTTGAAGTAATGCAGTGTGCCCATCTCCCAGATCCATAATGGGGGCACAGTACTTAAGCAAACATGGCATTAAGGTCAGGGCTAGGGCTGGAAATGTAACTTCTCTCTGCTCCTATCACTACCAGATGTAAGAAAATTAATTTAATGAAATGGAAACACAGAAGTACAGGAAAGGGACTTGCTACGGAGTTAGAAATTGGTTTTGGTGATCACCAGAAAATCAAAAGCAAATGACAAACTAAAAGGATGAAATGCTAAGTGACTAACACTTGACTAGTTCAATCACAAAAGCAGCCACAATAGGAGGCATATAGCTGACTGTGGACTTTCATAATCTGAAATGAAACTTAGATGTATTGATTTGGCTCTGAACTAAGCATTGTTATATCCCAGAAAGATTATTCTTACTATACACACATACATACAAATGCATTCGCGATATTTTATTCACTTTTAATATTGCACTCATCAGCAGGATATCACCTTTCAGAATTAGGAAATTGAACAAGGAGAGTAATATCTACCAGATGCCGCTCCTCTCCATTCCCCTTCCTCCCTTGTGGAAAAATACATGTGCAGCAATGTGGGGTGTTCTGAGAAAAGGGCAAGGTCAAAGAAGGCAATCTTCAACCAAAAATGCAGTTACATTTGTAGTGGTTCCTAGTCCCACAGGTTTGCCCCATTAAAGTCCCCATCCTCTTGCCAGGGATGAGCTTCACCTTTGGAGTAAACAGGGTATCAGTAATCAGAGCAAGCAGTGCAGCAGCAGCAGCCCAAGTCTGGACCTGACCCAAAGACCTAAGGACACTTCTCCCTGACTGATGGGGCTCCGGGCAGCCAGGTCCCCTCTGCCCGGAAGCACTGGGACCTCTCTTTCACTGCGGTTCTGACCAACAGCGGCTTTTCAGCAGCCACTCGAGGATCCCAACAAAACAACACGAAGAGCAGATTGAGGCATCTGTTGCCCAGAAACCATTTCCAAAAACATCAGCAACGAGAACGTTTCCTAAAAGTAGATATTCAAGGCCAGAAACCAACCTGCAAGCTTTCTTCTTTAAAGGTTTAAGTCGACATACATAGCTGCTTTGTAGCATCATCTTTGTTGTAACTATGGCTTTGGAAATGTAAGGAATCCATGGTTACTGAAAATCCCCTTTCTTGTGGCATCCAGATTCGGAAAGTTAAGCGAACCAAAGGTAAAAGCAACCTACAGTGAACTGTTTGAAAATTTAAGTCGACGCTTCTAAAGATAGTTACACCACCAGCATCCCATATTGTATATATTCTAACTATTTTAAGTCACAAGGCAGCTAAATGACACGAATACAAATATGATTACTATACTCTACGACTTGACCTTTAGTATAAAAAGCTGTTTTTCACACACATATTCTAGAAAACCTTTCAAGCTGAAGTTTCACTTAGCCCCTTACACTAAAAATCTGGTTTTAAAATTTGTAAAAGATCTTGCGAACTCAAATTTATGCTAATGCAGCAGTTTCAGGTAAGAAAGGCAGAAGGGGAAATCAGGGCATTACAGTGACCTGAGTTTTCCATTTATCAAATGCTCGCTGAGAATGAAAGGCAACCGCTCACAAAGAATAAGGGAGAAGGAAAAAAAAAAAAAAAGAAAAAGGTGGTACCTAGCTAACTACCTACAAGAAAATCGTGACTGAGAAAGAAACGATGAAAATATCTGAGATCCAAACATTCAGTTAAGTCACTTGAAAAAAGCTATCCAATTGAGATTTATTACAGAATTTGCAGCTGATTTCGATCGACCTCACTAGTTTGTAACAATGAGTATCACCCAACTGTACAAAGTTTAGAAAAGTATATAATCATCCTCTCAGCAAAAGAAAAATGGCCTTCTGTTTCAGAATTCCCATATGATGCTGAAATTCTATTACTGGGATGTAGTAACACACCTCTTTTGATGACCACAAGTTAACCTAACATATCCACAAGTAAACCTAACATATCTCACTGTAAACCACAACCCCCTCAAACAGAAACCATCCCCACCATTCCCACCCCCCCCAAAAAAAACCCAAAAAAAAGAAAACAAACAAAAAACCACCACCACCACCACAACAACAACAAGACAATGTTCCATTCAGGACTGACAGATGGAACACGTGTAAGGAACTTGCCAGAGGGGTTCCTGCTTGTAAGGAACTACAAATTTGTACTCAGAAAGTGTGTGGAATAAATGTAAATATATCTGGTCTTCAAATGGTTATTACAATCACTGCTAACTGAAATGCATATAAGAGAATGCAAGACATGACCCAATTCCTAACATACATAACTTGCGAAGAAAAAAGCTCTACAGAGTCCTAACTTATCAGTTTGAAGCAGGTTAAAAAGAAAAACACAGAAATGGAACATTAGTCCCAAAGAAGCAGAAGTGTTTGTAGGGCTCTAGTTGCAGTTGTATATAGATGTAGATCTAAGAGGGACTTAGAACTGTAACAGTTTTGCAGATAGCAATCGCAGATCAGCAAGCACAGAAGACGAACAGAGGGCCAAGGTGCAGAGACGACATTGTCATAAGCAATTCGCAAGCCTGACATGAGTCTGGTGGACTTTCTGCATGGACACGCCTGTGGAAGGTTTGTGTTGCCCACCCAAAAAGATCCGCAAACTTGAACTGTGATGTGTTTTCAGGTGGGAGGAGGAATAGCTCCGGGTATTCAAAAGCAGGTTTGCTGCCCAACAGTGCACTCAGATGTTCATTATCATCGCACTAAATATTAAATGCCAAACCACACTGTGAAGGAACCTACCTCTGAATGCACCCAGATTTAAGTGCTCAAATACTAGCAAGATGCTTAGAAGTAAAGAACTTCAACAAAAGGTCTTATTTACAATGCTGACATTAACACGATCCTTACAGAAAGGTGAGTCGGAATCAGCTGAATGGTGTCAAATACAACAATTCAACACAAAGCATCAGAAATGCAGCTGAACTACTGAAGCTCATGCAGATACCAAACACCACTGGCAGCAGTGTAATGGCAAGTACTGGAAAGACAAAGGGAAATCTTAGGTATTGTCATCTTGCCAAATTCCAGAAAAAGGAAGTCAGTTCCCAAGCAGGGGAAAAATAAATTAAAAAATTCCTTCACAAAGAGCTCTTAAGCCAGTAGAATAGAAAGTCTTTCTGGCAAAAAAAAATGAGGAGGAAATGATCAATTCAGACATGTTAGCAAGACAAAATTCTATCTGAAATAAAAGCACTGTTTCCATTGATCAGTAATACTTGGGAGACATAGATTCTATCCAAGGCAACACGGAAGGAAAAAAAACTATCAAAGAGACTACACATAATTTTTTTTGTCCTGTATGCAGTATCATTCCTTAATCAGATTACATCAGAAAAAAAAATACAGCATAACATAGAAGATGAAAAAAATGTTTTGAACTTTCAAACTCATCCCAACACATCATTCTGAACTATAATATACCTGCAAGTTTTGTTGTCAAGATTTCTTCGTACTCTTCACGGATTTTCTCTTCACGTTCTTTCAGGAGACGCTCACAGATCATTCCAACTTGTCTCAGAGTAAACAGTGGCTGTTCTTTTTTCAATGGTGATGATGCTGCAGATGAAGTACCTACAATTAAATATTTGGGCATACCAATTTACACTTACAAGCAGTTCAGAACCATTTTTAGAATTAGTTTTCTTCACATCTTTTATATTAAAGAAACTTTACAAAACATTTGGAGAAATCTTTGCCAGCTGAACACTTCTAATTAATATTAAAGCAAAATCAGATACTAAAAAAGAAGACATCTGAAATGGACAACATGCAAAGGTATCAGTACACCAAGAGTGTTACACACACACACTGTCAACACCATTTACATGACAGTTGCCACTTTTTTAAGCTTTTAATTTATGCAAAACTTACAGTACAGAATACCAGTGCAAAAACAGCTGCTCTGCAAAAGCCTATTACAACATCAGCAGTAGGGTACGCAGGACAGTCTCTTGAAAACCATGCAAGCTTTGTGTCTACTGATTCTTAAAATGAGAAGCTACAATCTTCCAGATCAATGCTATTATTGTCAAAAAAGGCAACATTAACTGGTGAGAAGGTGCCATAAACCATCAAGTAAGTATGGAAAATTATGTACACAGAGTCTAAAAACATACACCAAAATTACAAAGAATTTTCTGGGTACCTGGCAAAGCTGGTCCAGTAAGGAGAAATGCATGTGGCTGTGCCTCAGTAGAACAACAAGGGTCTGTTTGCTGGAAGTTATTTTCTAAGTGTCTCCTTTTCTGCATGCGTTTGTATTCTTGTTTTATGTTGTACACAATTTGTTCTAAAAGAAAACCAATTAAAAAAAAAAAAAAGCCTAAAATAATTACATTTCAGCATTCTGCTTAACCAAACACCGTAGAAAATTACCAAACGATAAAAGCTACACTCTTAAATCACGGCCTGCAAAAACTACCATGTTTTAACTAAGACACAAACAATGAAAATAACTAAAAGAAAAGTAACTCCAAGCGGTTTTAACTAGGAGAACACTAGGAAAATGTTGTTAGGTAAGATCAGGTATTGGTGCCAGACTACTGCTAACAAAAATAAACAGCAGAAAGTTAAATTTAGAAACAATCAACTATACAATATACACAGATAAAAGAATAGGCTATAGAACATCTACTGGTATTCATCATCTTCCCTTCATACATTTAATTTGCAGTTGTCTTTCTCCACTAGACAGCATTTATCATTGATAAAGTTGAGGGTAAGAAAAGACTCCAGAATAAAGCATATACATGAAAACACCATTCCTCTCCGTACAGTTACTGGCACACAGGCAGCAAAATGGAAAGGAAAAAACAATTTAGACAGAATATACACAAAGCAACTACTGCTTAAAGTCTCCAAGAATTGGAAACCAACAGACAAACCACAAAAGCCTTCCACAGTGTTACTGACAGACTCAGATCTCTCCAAATATACACAATGGATGGATCAATAGTCTCTTCTAAAGGACTGTGGCAATATATAGTTTAGCATTTGACTGCACTGAATAAAATACAGCAAGTGCTTTTAATAATTTCATCTCCAGTGCAGAATTACAAGGAAAAAAGTAATGCTTGCAATAAACTACCTGAAATTCCACGTACCAGAAGGCTCTTCTCAGGTACATCAGTGCCCTAACTGCATGTGCTCTAGCAATGTAAAATATTGAAGGGAATAAAAACGCATTTTCTACTTTTGACAGGAGATCTTCACAGGAGGAGAGTTTTTGAAGACTCTTTATGAAAATTCTTACTTTCAAATGCTCAAAAGCATTTAAAAAAAAAATCCCTACGGAATCAGCTTCCACTTTAAGACTTCTAGACTTTGGCAAACACAAATTTCCAAGAACTCAGATCCACGCGATCATGTCCGAGGTGCAAAGGACTCCACTCAGTACCTTCGTACTTCTGTTTGGCATTTTGCCAATACAGTACTGTGAAAACTTCTCAACTAATTCTCAGGTTTGTAAACAGTTCGCTATCGAGGTTCCACATTTGAACATTTTCTAGTGAGTGACCACATAAAGCAAGTAACTTCAGCTACCAGCTTATACAGTCAGCAGCTAAAGCCTATGTCAGACCAAGCAGAAGCAAACATTTGCCAATTCCTAGTTCAGAAGTTTAACTACTGTGGCGCTTCTTCAATTCCGTAAGTCAGTCTAGAGCCTTCCAATTTATAAAAAGAGAAAATTGTTTCCAGTTAACAAGAATGCCAGCATTTTCAGCTAAGGAACCTCTTGTTTCAATGTTGTCCATCAATTAAGGCCTTGCAGTTTATACCTTTCAGTCTCATGTCGACACCATTTGTACAATTTTCAACTAAATAAAGGGAGATCAATAACTTAGTTCAAGAAGCAGCAAATGTGGAAGATGTAATAAAGCACAGCAGGGAAATTAAGAGACAGAAACTATGAGACAAAGAAAAAAAGTACTCAAGGGTGGCTGAAGAATTCCTACTCTTAGTAGGACAAGAGACATACTACACTCAAGCATAGTACAGAAATATACGGATCAGGTTAAAACAAGATGCAGTCAGGCTTCAAATTAAATAGAATCCCATGTAGAATTTGTCATATGCATACATACAGCTCCAGTCAGAGAACTGCCCTGCAACATTTTTACTCAACAGCGTTATGTTCGTAAAAACATACTTTTTCTCTGAATCAAATGTTGCTCTAGCTAAAGCAACATTACATAATTTTGAGTGGGAACCAAATTAGCTCATAAATCTGTCCGAAAGCTTATCTACACCATGAAATAGTGACTTGCAAACATTCATGCTGTATTTACATCAACTGAAGAATATACCACACCATGTGTAACCTTCACTGTGACTATCTGGTCTTGAGCATACTTTCCAAACTCGCCATGAACTGCAAAAACATCAGCCAAATTTCAGGTGTAATGGCTTTGATAAAAATCTTCTCCACAGCTCTCCTTTGTATTATCTTTTTGCAGAAATACTCTCAAACCACATTAACCACGAAATTAATCATTAAGGGGAAAAAAAAACTAAACAGACTGGTCAATGGATAAAACTGCTACAGTTAAAACAATTATCAGCTAGGTTTCCGCCAGCTCTCACATCTCCTGCAAATTAAACGGAGAATAATTCAGAGAAAATCTAAAAATATCAGACAGAATAGAAGGAATAGAAGTAACAGATGGGGTGGAGGGGTGGGAGGCAGCAGGAAGAACAGGAAGGGGAGGCAGAGAAATCAGGTACTGCCTTTGAGATAACCATAACACCTGGGACAGAAAATTAAGATCTGTGTACCAATGGATTCACGATTCTGCTCCTGAGACCTCACCTACAGTACTGCATTCACCTTTGGGGCCCCTAACATAAAAAGGAAATGGACCTGCTCAAGTGGGTCCAGGAGGGCCATGAAGATGATCAGGGGTTTGGAGTACCATCCAAATGAGGACAGGCTGAGAGAGTTGGGGTTGCTCAGCCTGGACAAGGCTCTGGGGAGACCTTACAGCAGCCTTCCAGTACCTGAAGGGGGCCTACAGGAAAGATGGGCAGGGACTTCATTAGAGTGATAGGATGCTGGGTAATGGACTTAAACTGAACAAAAGCAGATTTAGATTAGATGTAAGGAAGATCTTTTACACTACGAGGGTGGTGAGACACTGGAACAGGTTGTCCAAAGCAGCTGTGGATGCCCCATGCCTGGAAACGTTCAAGTCCAGGCTAGGCAGGGCTTTGAGCAACTTGGTCTAGTGGGAGGTGTCCATCCTGCCTATGGCACAGAGGTTGGAAGTAGATGATCTGTAAGATCCCTTCCAACCCAAACCATTCTATGTTCTATGAATTATGGACACAATTTGTAAGTCTCAACGATAATAGGGTAACTTCATGCACTTCTAATTTGGCAACACTTCTAAAACTTGCCCTCTTCGAATCTTGATCTGAAAATCAAAAATTGCAAGAAACACCACTGACGAATACATTGGGAGATCCTCATCCTGACAAATATCACTTAATCACTTTGACAGTTTGCATTACTGTAAGTTCAGGTAAAGGTATAAAATGAAGCAAAGTGGGATGGAGGAGGGGACTAAATTAAACAGGGCAATACACTGTCTACACACTGCAAGCAGCCAGCAGGACAAAAGAAGCCTGAAATCTTAAGTCCTGACTGAACACTAGCTGAGAATGTACACAATCTGCTTTTGTAAACAGTATTCCTCTATTTAGTCTAACTTATAAGATTTAAGGCACTATTGCTCAGCACAGAGAACTGTACCACAAGCTCTACTCAGTACTGTGCTGCTAGCAGGGCAAGACGACTGAGAATTACTATCTCATATTTCCTGATTTCCACCATTTGTAAATCCAAGCATATAGTCAAGAAATAAGTTTAACGTAGCACCAAACTCTTCAATGACTTCTCACACGAATGATCAGACTAGTAATGCTTCAAATGAAGCCAGTACATTTTTGCAGCTGCAAAGATGGAGCAGACTTTTTTATTAACACAGTGGTGTAAAATCTTTGACTTTAAACATCACTACTTCACTGTGAAGTGAAATGTAAGCTTGCAAGTATTTATGACTGATTTAAAATTTGAATCACTTTGTGGGTTTTTTTCAACAATCTAGGAAAGTAAGAAAAATTATTTAAGTGCACCAAGTTACTTCTGACATTTACAGTTTTGCTTAACAAATCCACAAAAATATGTTTGATGAACAAACAGATTCTGCTCAAAACAGTTTTTTTAGCATCTCAGCACTTGAAAGAAGACATTAAATATTAAGGCAGTATCAATCAGACAACTCTTGAACAAGATCTATATGGCAGACATCTAACTGTAAAGACCTTTCAAGGTCTGGCCCAGTTAAACAAAGCTTAGAGTTAGCAGATCTTCTCCAACCTAGTTTTGCTTCCAGAAAACCTTCCTGCCTTTTCAAGTTGAATTTCTTAGCCTCTCTTACTTGCAATTAGCTCTGACTATCCTCTCTGCAGCTGACAACTGAATTAAAATGTGCGTTTAAGTCGTGTCAAACACAGGATAGGGATTTTTAATGTGCTTCTCAATGTGGAGGCCCAAACTGTCTTTTTCTACGACATACATTTCAATCAACAAATTATTCTTTATATATAAAAATCTAGAATTTGAAAGTACACTCATTAAAGAAAACCTAAGTGAGCTTCTCTAACGCTATAAAACTGAGTAAGAATTCAAATTATACATATTAGAACTTAGCAGACACTTTAAATAAAGACTTGCATGCATCATAGGTGCTTTAAGTTCAAATCAGACACTATTGGTTCGAATCAGGCAACAATTTCATTTTTGGGATGACAAAAGGAACATATTTAATATGATCAAACACACATCAGTTTCTTTCTAATTTCCCTTCATCCCCTGTGCTGTGTTTCCTACTGGTTAGAGGCACCTCAAGGCACAGAGGTAGCTAACAGGAAACACCAGGCAGAGGTGCTGAGAGTAAAAATTAGGCCTGCTGAATCTAGGGTAGTTGCAAGAAAAAGCCACGCTGCTAACACGCTGAAATGAGTTAGCACTTCATAAACGACATTTCAAATTCAAGCCCAACCAGTTATGCAACAATGTATTATATGTCCCCTTCTACTCCTTCAGGTGCAATGCTAAAAGAAAGCATGACGAAGTCTGCTACTGTCTCACCATGACCACTAAAGCCATAGGGGATCCAGTCAAATACACCCAAATACAACAAAATACAGTCTTTTTTTTATCTAGAGCTCTGTGTACTAAAAGCATGAAGGCAAGTACAAAGGTTCATAAAATACTGCATTAAGATGAA